AGAGAGACTACCTCATGGTAAATAACTGGTTCTTATTCTCAATATATATATGATATATGATATATGATATATGATATATGATATATATATATATATAATCTTATGTCTCCATTAAGACTTTGCTTATGACTTTGTCTTCCATAGCTTGATAACATCTGAACGTACAGAAAAATATTGACTTCCTTCATCTTCAAAGGTGAGATTCTGACTCTGAATGAGGTATGAAGATCCTGCCTAAAACATTTAGCTCACTTCTTTCTCTTCTTTTAGATGGAACATTATGGATCATACAAGTAGAAAAACACCCTAAAACTTGACTTAGCTAGCTATACAACTAAGGATGTATTTGAAATTTCTTGGATTTGTGTTAGAATTTTCTTTTTCTTGTTTTTTACCTCTTGAAATTTAGAAAGCAAAGAATAAGGTTGGAGTATTGCCTGGAAAAAGGGTCAGTGTTTGGATCTCATCCATAGACCTAGAAGCATACTCATTTCATTGCGCCGGAGTTTACCAGATTTAAAAAATCTATTTTATTGTAAATAAATTATAGAAACACTAGATGTCTGTATTAATCTGGCTAGTGAATACTTTCTCCTTTTGGGAAAATTATGGGAAGCCCCATTTTTCATAAGGCTCCATGAGCCAGATGGTTTGTTGTATGATTCGACTGATGAATATCATCAGGCACTGATGTGCTGATATGCTTGATTAAAAAACTGGGGCATGCTGGACCAGATATGCCAGTGAACTAGCTTGTCATAGCACTTTCTCCCTTGAGCAGTCCTTGATAGCATTTGGTCTTTCAGTTTCATTTTCTCTGCTCCCTCCAGAGGCACCCAGTGTTGAGTGTTCATTTTTTTTATAAAGATTTCTATATTTATCAAGTAGGTGTTAAATATATATTTAAGACTATATAAATGGTACCACACTGTATATACATGTTTTACAATTTTTTCCTCCGTATTACACTTTTGGAGCATTTATATATCTATATTTATATCTAGCTAGCTATATGTATCTGTAGGTGATTAATTTTACATACTGTATAGCATTTTAGTGTGTGGATATATTGCAATTTATTCATTCCTCTGTTGTATGTTTAGGTTGTTCGAAGTGTTTTGTTGTTATAGACTCTTATGTGATTGCAAGATTGCTTCCTAAGTGGTTACCAGTACAGACTTTTTTGCTCTGTAGCTTTTCAATGCTGGATATTTCAGATTTTCAGTTTTGTTCTACTCTGGTAGGTACTGAATGGATTTAGGTATGTTTTAAGTATCTATTTCCCTGAACATTGTTTTAAAATTTAGATTTTTACTATGGCAAATTTTCTTTTTTATTAATTTGTATTTTTTCAAATGTGTATTTTTTCAAAAGTTCTTTATGTAATCCTGCTATTATTTGTTGTTTGAGGTTTTGCAAACATCTTATCCTAGTCTGTAGCTTATCTACTTTTTGAGAGCATCTTTTACTTTATAGTCACTTTATATTTAATTGAAGTAAGAGTAATGAATCTTTCTTTTGTGACTTGTGCATTTTTTGGTTAAGAGGTCCATTCTTACTCTGAATGGAGGTCATAAATAAACTATATTTTTTTATAACACAAAAATTGCCTTATTACAGGTCTTTAATTTACTTGGAATTACTTTTTGTATATAGCATAAAATAGAGATATTGTTTTTTCATATGAAAAACTTACCTTGACAACATTTATTGTAAGGTACATCTTTCCCCACTGATATGCAGAGTTATCACTGTTCCATATGAAGTGTTCAGGAGTCTGTTTCTGGAAGTCCATTGTTCTATATAGCTGTTCCTACAATAATGTAACTTTGTAACATATTTTGATATCTGATGAGATGCCACTGTCTTCTTTATTTTAAAAGTTCTCCTGGCCATTTTTGATTCTGCTCTTCAATGTAAATTTTAGAATTGTCAAGTATATCAAGTTTTACAAAAAGCCTTTAAGCAATTTCTTTATTGAGGTTTAATTTACATGTAATAAAATGCAGTTATTTTAAGCAGTCAATTCTGAGTTCTAATAAAAGTATTTATCTGTGTAACCACTGTCACAATCAAGACATAGAATAATCCTGTCAACCTAGACTGATGCTGTGTGACTCCTCCCAGCCAATTCACAAGTTTACTCAGCTCTAGTCAACTACTGATATATTTTTTAACTTTATAGATTAAATTTATCATTAGTAAATTCCATATAAATATAATCATAAGTATGTATTTTGTTATATCTGGTCTCTTTTGACCCAACATAATATTTTGAGATTCATCCATGTCGTATGTATCAGTAGTTTATTCTTTTTTTTCTTGCTTAATGGTATTCTGTTAGATAGCTTATATCACAATTTGTTTATTCATTCACCAATTTTTAGACATTTGAGTTGTTTTGGGTTTAGAGCTATTATTAGAGTTGCTATGAGTATTCATGTAAAAATCTTGACATGAATGTCTTCATGTCACCTAGCAGTAGAACTTCTGAATGAAATAGTAAAGTATTGTCCTAAATATCAATCAGAGAGGGAGTCTTTAAAAGTGCTGGTACTGCTGAGGAAAAATAAAATATTTCAGCTACTTTGGAAAACAGTGTGACAAGTTAAATACATTTTTTGAAAATTGTGAGAATTAAAATGATAATAGTTTGATATTGCTTTAACAAAAAATAAATTTAAAAAGCTAAGTTTTTGAAGGAAGAGTTCTCATACATGATTGCCTAATAGTAACTACCATAAAACACTTTGACAGAACCACAACCTTACACAAAAAATATTTCTCCAAAGACATCTGCCCAGCAATTGTCTGTTCATCCTCATACTAGCACCACCCATTTTATTAATCCTTGTAGCCAAGGACTATTGTCTCAATGTGTCTTATGTAATCTTCAATTTTACCTTCAATTTTTCCCTTCCTACAACTTCACTGAACATGCCCATTGTTTGCTATGGAATGAGCATTCCTTTTACATTGTTCTATTATCCTTCAAATAAGTATCATTATTTTTAAAGACTCCCTCTCTGATTGATATTTAGGACAATACTTTACTATTTCATCCAGAAGTTCTACTGCTAGGTTTTTATTTAGCCATTTCAATGAGTGTGTAATAATATCTTTTTATATCTTAATTTATTTTCTCTGATGAATAATGATGTTGAGTGTGACTCGTGCTTAATGACCATTTGCACACCTGCTTTGGTAAATATCCATTTAATTCTTGTGCCTATTTCAAAAATTTTCAGTTTTATTGAGGTATAAATTATCTTGACACCCTTTAAGTTAAATTGAGTATATTTAAGATGTAAAAATGTAATTTTTTCTTTTTTGTCTTTTTGAGACAGGGTCTCGCTATGCAGTTCAGGCTGGCCTCAAGCTCACTTTTTGTAGCCCACACTGGTCTTGAACTCGCACCGATCTTCCTGCCTCAGCCTCCCGAGTGCCGGAATTACAAGTGTGTGCCACCACTCCTGGCCTGTAAAACGTAATGTTTTGATATGTATACATTTTGAAATGATTACCACAATTAAGCTAATTTAGCTTATGTGTCATCTCATAGTTACCATTTTTTGATATAGTGAGAACATTTAAGATCTATTCTTAAATGTTTGATATATGCTGGATACATGCTGTTTTCAAGATCTATTATACATTGTACTACTATAAATGTGGGTAGGCGTGTATTCCTATAATATGATGATTTTAACTCTTTTGGGAAGATACCCAGAAGGGGCATAGCTAGGTCAAACATAATTTCTATTTTTAGTTTTTTTGAGAAATGACTATGCTGATTTCCATAGTAGTTATGCTAGTATATGGAGGTATTATTTATACACAGTGGAGTACTGTATGCTATAAAGAAAGATAAACTTGAGGCGTTCATAGGTAAATGAATGCAATTTGAGAACATAACGTTTAGTGAAATAAATCAGACACAGAAGTTCTAATATTGCATGGTTTCTCTTAAATGAGAAAAAAATATATAAATACAAATAAAGAGTGAAATAGAAGAGAGATAAATAGAAAAAGTTTAAATACTTCCCCAAATTACATATTTTGTTGTTTCAAAAAATATTTTAATATACTAACTTGTTTCATTTATACTACTGGTTTATTTTAGATCATTGGAAAGAAAGTTTTGTGTTATTATCTCTTTCTCTTTTTGTAAGAATCTTTTTGGTTTATGCCTTGTATTCTGAGTAACTACTTTGAAGATAACGATACAGTGTATTAACTGTTCTTATTCTTTTATTTTGTTATGTAATTTTGTTTTGTTTCTTTGTAAAGTAAAAAAAGTGAAAAACATCTGCTGTTTAGCAGCTTTCAAGATGAAATACATTCACTGTTCCCTGCAACCATGCTGTAAGTTCTCCAGCACTTATTTATCTCGTAACTGAAAGTTTCTATTCTTTGACCAGCACCTCCCTGTTTTTCCCAGGCCCTGACTCATGGTAATCATCTTTCTACTCTTGTTTCTGTGAGCTTGACTTTCTAAGATTACACTTATTTGTTTTTTTTTCTTTTTTTTTTTTGGTTTTTCTCCGGTACCGGGAACCGAACTCACGACCTTGCTTTTGCCAGGCAGGCGCTTTTGCCGCTGAGCTAAATCCCCAGCCCTAAGATTACACTTATAAGTGAGATCATACAATAAATGTCGTCTGTGTCTGGCTTATTTCACTTGGTGCGATACTACCTATTTATTTATTCATTCATTCCAGTTTGATGTAATCTCATTTATTTAGTTTGAATAGTCTCACCTTTTATTTGTCTTTTGTTTTTGCTGCTTATGTCATATTTAAAAAATCACGGCCAAGAACAATGTCATAAAATTTTGGCCATTTTCAAATTAAATTGTTTTATTAAATAAAGTTTAAAAACTATACAGTCTGGATTGTTAGTGAAGAATTGGACCTTGTGCAATAGCTATTTATATTGAATTCTAGTTTGACCACCTGTGTTAGAGAAATGAAATGAAGCAGAAAGGAGACAAAACACAGTGTATTTGATCAACATTTACTTATTGCCAGTTTTAATGCAATGCAGTTATTTGAATCCAAACACTTGAAACAAATTCATTACAGTCAAATCAAGGAACTATATAACAGTGATAGTCTTTCTTTCTCTCTGGGTATGGATATTCCCCTGCAAGGAGTTATTGTATATCTATGCTAAGCACCCCTAAAGTTTTCTAATCTGGAGCCAACTTCTTAGAAGTAGGAGCTGAGATCTTTCTTGTTGAAATCACGTTAAAACCTATATTTGGATCTTTTGATCTTGAACTGATCCAGTCTGCTTTTTAAGAAATCATGCTCTTGCTTGGCTAAGGAGAATCATCTGAAGCAACTTCTTTGTAATACTAGTTAATTACCTAATAGATAATGTACTCAAAAATAGAGGCTTAGTGGAATTTATAAATAAACATACTGTATCAGTGGTGCATCTTTGCTTTTAAGGTTTCTCTTTTTTGCTACTCTTCTATATAAGATACACCAAAAATTTGAGTACGTGTACCTGTTAGAGAAAGCTTTTACTTTAGTATGGTACATTTACAATATATTATTTTTTAAAACCACACACTTAGCTTCGGCATTATCTCTAATTAAAATAGCGAGTTGTCGAAAAGATACCTTAACTAAAATCCAAGCTCCTTAAATACTTTCCATTGTTTTTCCAAATTTAACCACATACTCATCATTCATTCAACTCAATATTTCATAAGAAATACCTAAATGCCCTACATCTTTGGGTAAGGAGCCAATTAATAAGTAGTAGAGTACAATTACAGGTTTAAAAGAACAGGATAGAAATAGAAATTTCATGATGACTTGCTTCTCTATAACAGTTTCTCATTTTAAAAATTGCTGTGTCAGTTAATTTCACCTCTATTCATTATTCATCCCTACATTTAACACCTCTGCTGTTGGACGTATGCATAGAGTGGAGTGTTACTATTGAAACTTTGGGATCTTGAGCCTATACTTCCCTCTCCCCGGCTGTCTGCTCTTCCTTTCTGGTCACAATAGCCACTTAGTCTGTGATCCTTATTGCACAATGACAGTTTATTGATAGTGTTGGATCTAGACTGTCCACAAGAGGATGTAAATTGTTCAGAGGCACAGCCTGAGGAGCTTTCTACTTGTCTATAGCCATTTCTCCCCTGCCCTTCATTACAGTTTGAATGGCTATAGCTAGATTTCCACTGGTTTCCACATCTCCCTTGTGGTTCATGTTGCTCAAAACTAGAACACTGATTAGGTCCAGGACCACATGATCCAGAGCTAGATGAGTAACATGAGCCAGATCCATATTGCTGAGAGTTAGAACAATGATTAGATCTAGAACAATGTTGTCCAGAAGTAGATGAAGGATATGAAACAGACTCATGGTGTTCAGGCATACTTGAGGGATACCCATGTTGGTTATTGCTAGAACAACGACTTGAGGCAGATCCATATTGGCCATAGTTAGAAGATTGATTTGTACTACATCCATGTGGACCATAGCTGGAAGACTGGACAGAGCTGGGTCCATGTTGACCACAGCATGATGACTGTCCTGATGTTGAGCCATGTTGTCCATAGCCAGAATATTGACCTAAGCCAGAACCACACTGACTAAAACCGGATGACTTTCCTGGAATAGACTCATGTTGATTAAAACCAGAAGTTTCTCTTGAGCAAGACCCATGTCGCCTTTGGTTAGAAGACAGGCCTGATCCAGATGTATGCTGGCCATAGCTAGAAGACTGATTTGATCCAGACCCATGCTGACCATAGCTGGAAGACTGACCCATCCTAGATCCCTGCTGACCACCGCATGATGACTGTCCTGAAGAAGAGCCATGTTGTCCATAACTAGAGGACTGGCCTGAGCAAGACCCATGTTGACTGAAGCCAGAGGACTGGCCTGAGCAAGACCCATGTTGACTGAAGCCAGAGGACTGACCTGAACCAGACTCATGTTGACCAAAACCAGAAGACTGACCTGAACCAGAC